GTAGCAGTAGCAGTAGCAGTAGCAGTAGCAGTAGCAGTAGCAGTAGCAGTAGCAGTAGCAGTAGTAGTAGTAGTAGCGGTAGTAGTGGTAGTGGTAGTGGTAGTGGTGGTAGTGGTAGTAGTATTGGTAGTAGTAATGGTTACAGGGGTCATTTGTTCCTTAAGCAATCTTCCTGGTGATCTTTTTTTCGATAAGGCGCAAAACCAAAAGGCGCCAGAGACTGCAGTGTAGAAATATGATTCCTGCTTGCTCTTTTTAGCTGTGATGAACTTTTCTCTTTAAACCGTAAAGCCAAAAAACACCAGCCCAAATCTGACCTAAATGGCTTGGTTGGTCATTGGCTGGCTTCCTGGTCCTCAGAAGAGGGCATGGAGGAGCCAGCAAGGGGAATCGCTCCTTCTGTCTATGGTTTGGAAGTGTCTCGACCCTCAGCCAGTGAGCAGAGGACACTGAAGAGCCAGACCGCCAACCAGGCAATGCCTCAGATATCAGAGGACAGAGGAAGCCTGCGACAATGCTGACTGACAGCTTGCGCCAGAAGACACCAGCAGCGTCGCCACTCCTCTATGTCCTCTGCTGACTGAGTGAAGATTCAAGCGTTGCCCCTGTTGCCAGAGTCTCCATTGTCTAACAGGTCCTGCTGCTCCCTCTATGTGCTTGGAGAGCAGAAGACACCAGCAATTGTCTAACAGGTTCTGCTGGTCCCCCTATGTGCTCTGGAGAGTGAGTGAGGATGAGGCGCCTCCAAGCATTGCTTCTGTTGCCAGAAGACACCGGCACTGTCTCCATTGCTTCTGCGCTTAGTTTGCTCGCTGGTGGTCTTGCTGGCCCCTCCACGTCCTCTGCTCACTGGCTGAGGGTCAAGACACTTCCAAAGGTTAGACCCGGATTCGGAAACTAATCGGTCGGATTCTGAAACTAGGGTTCTGAAACTGGTGTTCTGAAACTAGGGTTCTGAAACTTAGAGTTTGAAACTGGTCTTCTGAAACTGGTGTTCTGAAACTATGATTCTGAAACTGGTGTTCTGAAACTACCATTCTGAAACTGGGATTCTGAAACTTGTATTCTGAAACTGGAAATGTCAGATTATGCAACTGGTATTCTGAAACTGGAAAGTCAGATTCTGCAACTTGCCTTCTAAACTTGCCACTGGTGATCTCCACATCACGCGATAGCGTGTGTGCCTGTGACATCACCTTCGAAGCACATCCAAACCAACGTCATTAGCCCCCTGCCCAACCCCCCCTTGTCCCCATCGTGTGATCGCGACATCACGCCGACCCCCTCATCATTCAAGGGATTCCACAATGTTGCGGAATCCTAGTTGCGGAACGCCGGCGTTGCGGGACCAGTTGCAGAATCCTAGTTGCGGAGTCCTGACAGTTGCGGAATCCTAGTTTCGGAATCCTAGTTGCGGAATCCCAGTTGCGGAGCCCTAGTTTCGGAATCCTAGTTGCGGAATCCCAGTTGCGGAGTCCGACCAAACAGTTGCTTGACCCTAGTTGCGGAATCCTGCGCAGTTGCGGAACTCGACTTTATCCCATTTCCAAGCCATGCCTGTGCTGCCAGAAGACAGAAGGAGCGATTTCATTGTTCTAGCAGTCTTTCTGGCACCGCCATGTCCTCCGCTAAGGACCAACAAGCCAGCCAACAACCAACCAAGCCATTTAGCTTAGATTGCTCAGTTTGTGCTGGTTGGTGCTTTTTGGTTTTGTGGTTAAGAAAAATTGCCCACAGCTGGAAAGAGCAAGCGGGTTTCATTTTTCTACACTGCAGTCAAGAGTCCATTTAGCGCAGTGGGCAGAGCCTGGCTTCAGATCCAAGAGGTCCCGGACCCAATGCCTCCTCTGGCGCTCTTTGGTTTTGTGGCTTCAGGGGCGAAATATCACCAGGGAGACGGCGTAAGGAACAATCCTGGTACTATTGTGGATCGCCTCTCTATTGTGGATCCTTGGCACTCATAAGGGGTGCCCTTTGCAAGACTGTTGACGTAAAGCTTCTTTGCGAAGGGTGTACTTAGAAAGCGATAGTTTTTGAAATTGGAAGATTTTGGATTTTCTTGTATTGTGCTTTCTTGTGTTACAAAAGAAATGTAAAGGAAAGCATTCTCGAGCAAGCCAGGAGCCACAATAGAGAGAGGTGCTAAAATTATGCGTCACCTCTCTATTGTGGACCCTTGGCACTCACTAGGGGCACCCTGCGCAAGACTGTTGAAGTGAAGCTTAAAATTAAAAAGTTTTTTTAGAAATCGACAGTTTTGGAAGTTGGAAGATTGTAGATTATCTTGCGACGCGCTTTCTTTTGTTAAGAGAGATATGTGAGGGAAAGCATTCTCAAGCAAGCCAGGACCCACAATAGAGAGAGGTGCTATAATTATGGATCACCTCTCTATTGTGGATCCTTGGCACTCATAAGGAGTCCTTTGCAAGACTGTTGAAGTGAAGCTTTTAACGCAGGGTTTAATTAAGTTAGGTTTTCTTGTATTGCGCTTTCTTTTTCCCGAAAGCATTGCGAAGGGTTCTTCCGGAAAATCCCTTGAACACTGACACTTCGACACTTACACTTACACACTGACATTTCCACACTTGCACTACAACATGACCGCTATACGTACCCCAGTGTAAGTGGAAGAGCGAAAGCATCCAAGTGCAAAGTATGCAAGTGTCAAAGTATGCAAGTGTAATGACGCAAGTGCAATGATGAGTATGCAAGCATGCAACGAGTATGCAAGCATGCAATGAGTATGCAAGTGTGAGCATGGAAAACTAGCACGGGAGATGTCCTAATGAAAAACATTTCCCCACTTTATAAATTCTCTCTTAAAGGCGGAGGGTGGGACGAACAGCGTCAACCGAAAATGCAACCCTCTGCGGAGATCGTGCGTGTCGAGTGCGCGAAATGCAGGCGAGAGTGCGATTTGCCAGCTGCCCGCGCAACCCTCTGCGGAGATCGTGCGTGTCGAGCGCACGAAATGCAGGCGAGAGTGCGATTTGCCGGCTGCCCGCGCAACCCTCTGCGGAGATCGCGCGCGTCGAGTGCGCGAAATGCAGGAAAGAGTGCGATTTGTCCGGCGCGCGCGCGCGCGCGACCCTCTGCGGAGATCGTCCGTGTCGAGTGCGCGAAATGCAGGCGAGAGTGCGATTTGCCGGCTGCGCGCGCAACGCTCTGCGGAGATCGTGCGTGTCGAGTGCGCGAAATGCAGGCGAGAGTGCGATTTGCCGGCTGCCCACCTAACCCTCTGCGGAGATCGCGCGCGTCGAGTGCGCGAAATGCAGGCGAGAGTGCGATTTGTCCGGCGCACGCGCAACCCTCGGCGGAGATCGTGCGTGTCGAGTGCGCGAAATGCAGGCGAGAGTGCGATTTGTCCGGTGCGCGCGCAACCCTCTGTGGAGACTGCGCATGTCGAGTGCACGAAATGCAGGCGAGAGTGCGATTGAGTCTGTACGCGCGCAACCCTCTGCGGAGATCAGGCGTGTCGGGCGCGAAATGCAGGCGACTTTAAATTACAACTTTAGTACGCGGAGTATCTGGCGAGTTGGAAGATGAGAACTGGTGACTTTGTAGTACAACTTTAGTACGCGGACTAGCTGGGGAGCTGGAAGATGAGAACTGGCGACTTTGTAGTACAACTGTAGTACGCGGAGTAGCTGGGGAGCTGGAAGCTGAGAACTGGCGACTTTGTAGTACAACTTTAGTGCGCGGAGCAATCCGTGGAGCTGGAAGCTGAGAACTGGCGACTTTCTAGTACAACTTTAGTGCGCGGAGTAGCTGGGGAGCTGGAAGATGAGCACTGGCGACTCTGTAGTACAACT